CGAAGACGGAGGGTGAAGCTCAGAGCCCATGACCTTTTCAGCGTGGTACCAGGAGGGCCGGGTCCTGCGTGAGCCAGGCTCCAGCCCCAGGAAGGCCTGGGGGGGAGGGGGATGCATCCCTGGGCTCGCGCAGGGGTGGACTGGGCAGCTCTGTGGTTTGGCATTGCGCGCAGTCAGCATGGGAGAAGCCCCGACGCCCCTCTCCCACCCTTGATCATGAGGCACACCAGTGGAGGCTGAGGCACCGGAGCGGGGAGGATGGGGGAGGAAGGAGACTTGGGGGGAGGGGAAGGATAGAGGGGGGGCATGGTCTGGGTGACCCGCACGTCGGAGGGTTAAACTTCCTGGCTCAAGGGTGGGGAGTGGGTTCTAGCTTCAAACTCTGCAAAGTCCAGGTCCCCTTTCCCCTTCCACCCCGACCCAAAGTGCACCCTAGTTCTCCCTTCGTGGGTAGATGTTAAGAGATCTTCTCTCCAAACGACGACGGCAAGGGGCCAGGGAGGCTGGCTTATGCCTCTAACGCGGGGTGGATGCTCGGCTGGGACTCAGGCAGACCCCTTCCTGCCCCGCGGCCCGATGGCGGGTCCGGGTGGCCCGCACAGGGGCACCGGCCAGGAGTCTGGGACCCTCGGGGATGGCGTTCGTTGGGGCGCGCCCGCCCTCCCAGCGCTGAGCTACCCCCCGGGGTTTGTAGGGGCGCGGGGCCGCTGCAGAACGGGGGTGGGGGTGGGGGTGGAGGGGGTGTAAAGAGGGGGCCGGGACCCCCCTCCTGGGGCCCCCGCGGCGCCACCCCAGGCCTCACGTTTCTTACTCGCTCGGCTGCTTCCTCTGCCCCGTGCGCGCTGCCTGCGGTGCGGGCTTCAGCTGGGATCCCCGCTCTGGTTCGCGGAGGCTCCGTTCTGGCGTCGCTGGGCGCAGGGCGCCTAGGCAAGCCCGCTGTGCAGGGGCGGGGCGGGGCGGGGCGGGGCCAGACGCCTGGACCAGCTGCCTGTTTCCCCAGTGGAGGCGGCGTGGGCTCCCCTGGCTGGCCCTGTGCTGCCGCAGCCTCGCCCGCGAGCCCGCAGTCTCACCCAGCCGCCCCAGCCCTTCCTCCCCCGCCCCTCTCCCTCTCTCTCCCCCTCCCCGCAGCCCTCCAAATGGCTGTGCGCCTCCCAGCGGGCCTCCGCCGCTGCGCTGCCACCCGCCTGCAGGGCGCCTTCGGGAGGCCAAGAGGAGCGCGAGGCCAAGGAGCCAGCCAGATGTGTGAGGACAGACAGATGTGTGTAGAGAATGACATGCAGACCGCAGAGAGCAGAGGACACACATGTAGATCTGTGCAGAGAAAGCTAGAAAAATAATACTGAAGGGGGGAGGAGGGAAGGAGAAAAGGCCACAGGGCATGTCAGGTTCCCTTATTCAAGACTCTGAGAGATGTTTTCTTTTATTCTGGTCCCAGCCCTAGCACGCATGCCTCCCCACGAGAGCCCCAGATGGAGCTGGCATTCCCCAGCCTGAGGCCCACTCCCTCCCACAGTCGGGGAGGGATGGCGAAAGCAGGGCAGGAGGCAGAGTCCAGAATGAGCAGTTACCAAAGGAGGCTTGGAAGTGTCCTCACCCACCGAGGCCCTGCCATGCAGGTCCCTCTGCCTCCACCCAGGGAAGCCGGAGGCACGCCGACTGTCAGAGCTGCCATGCCTGCGGTTTGTTTTCTCCCCCAGTGCCTGCTCTGCCCCCACCCATCCTGCCCGGCCCATCAGCTACAGGGCAGTAGGATTTGTTGTAACCAGGGCACTTAGGGATGGCACCATTTAATGCTTCAGGACTGGCTAGGCAGAAGCAGGGTGGGGCAGGGTAGGAGAGCCGGGCTTGGACGCCGAGGTGGGGCCCCCGGAAGCCAGGAGGGATGGTGGGGTATATTGTGACCCTCAGGAGTTCCAGGATATGGAAGCCAGGGCCAGCTGCTCCTGTGATTGGGGGTGAGGCCTGGGAGTCTTCTAGGAAGAGGAGGGCGTGATAATAGATCTCATAGATCCCAAGGGTTAGACATCTATGAGTACAGAGAATAGGCCCTTCAGACAGGGAAACTGAGCTCAGAAACCAGGATGAGGGGGTTCCATTAGCAGGAATGGCAGAATAAAGAGACCCTCTCTTCCATAAAAGCAACGAGGACAGTGGAAAAATCGTCAAAATCACATTTTCAGAACCTTGGAATTAATTGAAGACGTAACCACAATTTGGGGAGTGTCTATTAGGAAAATGGCTAAATCTTGGTATGCACAGTGAACTTGGGTGTGTTTTAAATTACCCTAGTCTCAACCAGACAGCATGGCTTGGTGGCTGAGCATCAACCTATGAATCAGGAGGTCACAGTTTGATTCCTGGTCAGGACACATGCCCGGGTTGCAGGCTTGATCCCTAGTAGGGGCATGCAGAGAGGCAGCCGATCAATGATTCTCTTTCATCATTGAGGTTTCTCTCCCTCTCGCTCTCCCTCTCCCTCTCCCTCTCCCTCTCCCTCTCGCTCTCCCTCTCCCTCTCGCTCTCCCTCGCTCTCCCTCTCCCTCTCGCTCTCCCTCCCTCTCCCTCTCCCTCTCCCTCTCCCTCTCCCTCTCCCTCTCCCTCTCCCTCTCCCTCTCCCTCTCCCTCTCCCTCTCCCTCTCCCTCTCCCTCTCCCTCTCCCTCTCCCTCTCCCTCTCCCTCTCCCTCTCCCTCTCCCTCTCCCTCTCCCTCTCCCTCTCCCTCTCCCTCTCCCTTTCTCTTTCTCTCTCTCTCTCCCTCTCCCTCTCCCTCTCCCTCTCCCTCTCCTCTTCCTCTCCCTCTCTTTCCTTACCTCTCTGAAATCAAGAAAAGTATTTAAAAAATTACCCTAGTCTCATCTCCCTTTCTCCAACCTGGCGGTAGTCTTGAAACTCAATGGCCCCACAATCACAGTGAAAATAAGCAACCTAGCAACTATCAGAAGGGAAGACCAAAGCCCAATGCCCAGATAATTTTCCTAGAAGACCTCATTTTATTATATTTATTTATTTTAAAAATATATTTTATTGATTTTTTTTTTCCCTACAGAGAGGAAGGGAAGGGGATAGAGAGACCTGGACCATGGTGAGGGCTCATGCAGGAGGCAACTAAATGATGTACATCGATATTTCTCTCTGTTTTCCCTTCTCTCTTCCACTCTCTCTCAAAATCAATGGAAAAACATCCTTGGATCAGGATTAAAAAATAAAAAATTAAAAGAATCAAATAGAAATTCTGGAGTTGAAAGTACAGTAAGTAAAATAAGAAATTCACTAGAAGACTTAAGAGCAGATGTGAGTTGGCTCAAAAAAGGATCAGCAAACTTAAGGATAGGTCAATTGAGATGATCTAATCTGTGGAATAAAAAGAAGAAAAATGAAGAAAATTCATAGTTCCTTAGATACCTGATGGACATTAACAAGCATTCTAAAATATGTATAATTTGAGTCCCACCAGAGATAGAGAGAAAGAGGCAGGAAGACTTTGAAGAAATAATGCGCCCAAACTTCCCAAGTTTAAAAAAGTATTAATTTACACATCCAAGAAGTTCAATGAACTCTAAGTAAAATAAGAATTTCCTTAGTATTTATCCTAGACACATCATATTGAAATGATTGAAAAGCAAAGATGGGGAATATTGGAAAGAGCAAGAAATAAACAATTTTTCACATACAATGCTTCCTCAATAAGATTAACAGCCATTTCTCCTCAAAAAGCCTTTATAGGCTGGAAAAAGCCTATAAACCAAGAAGTTTATATCTGGCAAAACTATCTTTAAAAAATAAAGGAGAAATAAAGACATTTACAGATAAACAAAATGGTAGGGATTTCTCACTAGCAGATCTTCTTACAAAAATACTACAGTGAGTCCTTCAGGCTGAAATGAAAAGACTCTAGACAATAGCTTCACTCCACAAAGAAAGAAAGATCAGTAAAGGCAATCGTATAGGTAGATAAAAAAAAGACAGTTAAATAGACATTTTCTTGTTTGTAACTCTTCCCTCCTGTATGGTATAAAAGACAACTTTTAGAGTTGCAGTAAGGCAATCATTGTAAATCTATGTTGATGGGCATAAACAGTCAAGGATTAAACATTCTAATAGAAAAACAGATTGGCACGATGGTAAACTGCCATGATCCAACTTTTGTCGCTCTATATTAAAAGACACAAATAGATTGAAAGTAAAAGTAAAAGATGGAAGAAGATATACCATATAAACAGCAACCAAAAGAGAACTGGAGTGACTAATGTCAGACAAAATATATTTTAAAATTAAAAAAAAAAATTGTTCCTAGATGCAAGAGGTACATGTTATAATGCTAAAAGGGCCAATCTGTCAAAAAGATAAAATCACTTAAACTTTTATTTATTTCCCTAACAACAGACACCAAAAATACTCAAAGGAAAAATGGATAGAATTGAAGGGAAAATAGACAATTCAAGAATAATTGTTGCCCAACCTGTGTGGCTCAGTGGTTGAGCATTGACCTATGAACCAGGAGGTCACAGTTTGATTCCTTGTTCAGGGCACATGCCCAGGTTGAGGGTCTGATACTCAGTGTGTGTGGGGGGGTGTATGTGCAGAAGGCAGCTGATTAATGTTTCTCTTTTGTCATTGATGTTTCTATATCTTTCTCTCTCGTCTTCTCTGACATTAGTAAAAAATACATAAAAATAGCCCACTCACTCAGCTCTAGAAATGGAAGAATTTCAAGATCTTTATTTAGATGTATAAAAAAATACAGTACATTTCATGCACCAGTGTGGTCAATATATATAGTCAGTATCCCTAGAGCAATTATGACAATGATAGGAAATAGAAGGTTACAGGAATTTGTTTATTCAACTAAAACACTTGGAATAAAATTGTTAACCTAAATAGCAACCTTGTTATGCAAAAAAATCTTAATATGTTTGTGAGACTAGACATATATAAGTATTATTAGTAAAAAATTAAGTAGTTATAAAAAAAGTAGTTACTGGTTAAAAAATAAAGTCAGTGTTATCTACAATCCCCTGATATGTAAGGGGTCTTCAGAGTGGGGACCTTAGTCACGGCCAAGGGTGAGCTGGTTTGCCTCCATCCCTGCCCCTCCCTCTGAGTGATTCCACTTCTTCCAGGTGTGTCTGTGTTGGAACGTTCCCCATGTGGCTGAGAGGGGGAGAGGCACAGAGGACTGAGGGGCTTGGATGGGGAGGTGGGAGGGGCCTTGCCTTCCGCAGGGTGTGCCTGAAGGACAAGGCCCTGCTGGGGTTCCCTGAGATGCAGCAACGGCAACGGCGAGGTGTGAAGGCAAATGGCTTGGCTCCTTGTGCAGTCATAGTTGGGCTTGGACATTGGCCAGAGTTGCCAATTGCTGTGGATCATATCTGAGTGCCTCTGAGTCCAGAGATAAAGAGGAGAGATGAGAGAGAGAGAGAGAGAGAGAGAGAGAGAGAGAGAGAGAGAGAGAGAGAAAGAGGCAGCAGGAATGAACCACCAGGCGAGGCAGAGATGGGAAGAGGTCTTTTGCTCTGGGCACATCTGTTCCCACTTCCCAGGCAAAACTAGAGGCTTATCATTGAGTCTCAAATTGGGGTCACGCTCCTCCAGGCCCTCCCTGGAGGGTGGCCCTCACCCTCGGGCCTGTCACACATGATCTTCAGTGTCCCTCCGGGATGCATTCACAGTTGCTTCACAGTTCAGCCAGCCGCTTCCCTGACGCAGGCTGCAGCTCAGCGCTCAGTGCAGTCCAGGACGGATGAGGGCCCCTGAGGACCCACATTGATAGCTGCCACGGGCCCCTTCCTCCCTCTTCACAGGCCTGGAGAGGGGCCTCGGAGTGGGAGGGGCCTGGAGAGGGGCCTCGGAGTGGGAGGGGCCTGGAGGGGGGCCTCGGAGTGGGAGGGGCCTGGAGGGGGGCCTCGGAGTGGGTGGGCCTGGGGAGGGTGTGAGGAAGTTGAAGCCGGCAGGCAGCATGGATGGTCCTGGGCTCCCTTGGGCCTGTGCTAGCGAGACGGGCACTAGGGTCTCCCTGGCCTCACTGGTGGTGGTGGTGGTGGTGGGGGGAGGTCGGGGGCGGTTAGGGACCTTAGGGGAAGACCTGTCTCTGGTAGCTGAACATCAGCTCTGTGAGGAGCCAGAGAAAAAGTCTCTGCATTGGACTTGAGGTCCTGGTGACAGGGTTATGAGGAGGTCCAAGCACAGACAGACCCCCAGCTTGGATTTCCCAGCATTTTGGGGGACTGGGGTGTGTGTGTGGGGGGTAGCCACCGCTGAAATAGGTTCCTGAACATTTCAGGGCCCCCGGCGTTTGCTACCCAGGGTGGTGAGGCCTCTGGGACCCACAAGGAAGGGCTGCCGGGCTGGGCTGGGGGGTCGGTGCTGTCCTTCCGGGTCAGGCCTGGTGTCCAGCTGGCTGGAGGAGCCGCCATGGTCGGGACCCCTAATACGGCAGCTCCTCCGGGGAGTCCGTGCTGTACAGCTCGGCCAGCATCTTGAACCGGGGCCCCCAGTCGTTGAGGAAGTCGTAGTCGATGTCCGAGTCGGACGAGCCGGTGCCCAGGGTGCTGAGCGACTCGGCGATGGACTCGGCGCCCTCGTAGTCGAACAGGTGCAGCGTGTCGTAGGGCAGGCCGCTGCTGTCCAGGTCCGCCTCGTCCTTCTTGGCCTCGATCACCGCGGCCATGTCGCCGAGCTCGCCGGGCCGGGGCGGCGGCAGGTGCCGCGGCGGCTTCTGCACCTTGGCGTACACCGAGGGCCGCACGTCCCGCGTGGCGCGCGGGGGCTTGGCCCCGCCGTGGCGCACCGAGTTGAGCACCGACACGTCGTAGCTGGTGGTGTCCATCTCGCCGCCGCCCTCCTCGTCGTAGGAGACCAGCTGCTCGTGGATCTCGGGCACGCTCTTGCCGTGGGCGCGGCCCTGCTGCCGGAGCCGCCGCCGCAGGAAGAGGAGCACGGTGATCACTGCCGGGGGGGGGGGGGGGGGGGGGGGGGGGGGGCAGAGAGCGTGGGTTAGAGGGCATCAGCCGCGGGCTGGCCACACAGGTTTGCTTGGGTCAAGACACCTGGTGGGACCGAGTTCAGGCCCCATCCTGCTCCCCACGCGGTCCTGCCTGGCTGTCAGAGGCACTGGTAGGGGTGGGAAGGGAGAGGTACTCAGGGGGCTTCCCTCAAGTTCATTCTCTCTCCTCCAGTGGCAGCCTCGTCTGCCTGCATCCTCATTTCCTCCCTCCTCATACCACGGTGGCAAATCCTCTGCCACCTTTTCTTTTCTTTTTGTTTTACAGATTCTTTTTCTTTCTTTAAAAAACAAAATTGATTTAAGAGAGAGAGGGGAAAGGAGAGGGAGAGAGTCCGAGAGAAATACCATTGTGAAAGGCAACACGTGTCTGTTGGTTGTCTCTCGTTTGCATCCCCTCTTCCTGCTGGGGTTCCTGGAAGTACCCCCCAAATAAGCCACTTGCACCCCAATCCTAGGTTCTGCTTCCTGGGAAACCCAAACCAAGGCAAGGCCGGCAAGGCTCCGACCCAGGAAAAAGGTGACGTCGAGGCAGGAGGACGCCTCTAAAGCAGTGGTTCTCAACCTTCCTAATGCCGGGGCCCTTCAATACAGCTCCTTGTGTTGTGGTGACCCACAACCATAACATTATTTTTGTTGCTACTTCATAACGGTAATTTGGCTACTGTGTATGAATCATAATGTAAACATCTGTGTTTCCCGGTGGTCTTAGACTCTGCAGCAGTGGTTCTCAACATCGGAAAACAGATGTTTACATTATAATTCACTAACAGTAGCAAAATTACAGCTATGAAGTAGCAACGGAAATAATTTTACGGTTGGGGGTCACCACAACACGGGGGACTGTAATAAAGGGCCGCGGCATCAGGAAGGTTGAGAGCCGCTGCTCCAAACAGAAAGAAAGCTCCTGGAGATAATCAAAACTACACGTTTTTAAACTTTGCATTTCTTTCCAAAAGATGAACTGGATCCTCCTCTCTTTTCAAAAAAACGGTTTTCATGTAAATAGATGCCAAGAATGGTGTGCCTGGCACACAATAAGTTGAATGTCATAGAAAGAATTTTGAAGTGGGGGAGGGTCCTTGAGCCCCGCCCCCCTCCCTCCCATCCTTAGGCACCCAGGGAGGTGACGTTGGCCGTCCCATCTCACTGGGGTGCAGGGTGGGCACTGCAGGGCTATCCTGTGGGCTGGAGGCAGGACTGTCCTGGACCCCTGGCCTCTCCCTCCCTCGGAGCAGCCCCCTCCATGTCCCCTCCGCCTCCGGGCACTGACCTGTGATGGTGAGGATGCACAGGAAGATGGCCACCAGCACCGGGATGATGTTGTACCCCTGGTAGAGTTTCTCGTTACAGAAGGTAGCCTCGCCATACTCGTTGCACTTGCACACGGTCACGGTCAGCGTGCTGGTGCCCGTGAGGCTGGGCCTCCCGTTGTCCGAGATGAGCACCGGCAGGTGGTGGACCTTGGTGTGCTCCCGGTCAAACGGCCCGTACTTGACCGTGACGTTGGCCGTGTTATCTAGAAGTACCGGGGCCTCAGAGTCAGGCCGTGCTGCCTGGCGTGCCTGTCCCCTGGTTTACACCGACAGTGGAGGTTGCCTCCTCCTGGGAGTCCTCCTGGATTGTGCCCGCCCACGTGCCACCTGGGGTGCCTCTGTGTTCTTTGCGTTCCCTGCCTTATGTTTCAGCCTTTTGTTCCTCCACAGGGGGGTATATTTTGGGCAGCTCCCTTGGCTTATCTTCTAAGCATGGCTTGGCCAGAACGTAAAATCCCTGTTTTCTGTTTCTGTGGGCAACTGATAAGCTCCATCCCTTCCTCCCTACCTCTACTCCAGTGTTTCCCAAAGTGTGGTACGCGTACCCCCCGGGGTACGGGAAGAGTTTGGTGGGGTTGCACGTTGCACTGGAGTTTGGTGCACTGCACTGGGCTTAGCTGTGCCTAATTCTACGTTCTCATGAGTACGAGGGGTACTCAGCGTAACGAAAATTATAGAAGGGGTACACATATGTCAAAAGTTTGGGAAACACTGCCTACTCTAATGATAGGTGACTCTTTCAGCTTAATGAATGAATGTATTGTTTTAAGCCTTGATAAATAAGTGGGGAAATAAAGTTTTAAAAAGTCTTTTAGACCCGGCTAACTTCTGAGACCCTTTCTGTTTATCCCTGCAAATCGGTTAGAGAGTAAAAACAATGTTTACGCTCCTGGGCTGCTGAGGGAATGGTGACACATGGACTGGAGAATGTCTGGGGCAGGCTGGACCTGGGACTGTGCTTTGGCCCAATTTTGACTTTCCCTCCCGGCTCCGATCAGCGGTTTCCTGTGCAGAACTCGCAGGAGGGAGCGTTTTAAACCTGCAGGCTCTCAGCTCTCACCCCTGTCCACCCACCTTTTTTCCTGGTGTCCCTACCCCTTCAGGTTTCTGACTTGGTGGCTTTGGGCAGAGGCCAGATAATCTGCCTTTTGTAGGGTTTCTGGGAGGTCATGACACTGATAGTCAGGGGAGGATACAGGATTTGGAGGGGATATATATATATATATTTTAAAATATGTTTTATTGATTTTTTTACAGAGAGGGATAGAGAGTTATAAATATCGATGCAAGAAACATCGATCAGCTGCCTCCTGCACACCCACTACTGGGGATGTGCCCACAACCAAGGTACATGCCCTTGACTGGAATCAAACCTGGGACCCTTCAGTCCACAGGCCAATGCTCTATCCACTGAGCCAAACCGGTTAGGGTTGGAGGGGATATTTGACCGCTGTGTAGGGTTGGCCAGCTCAGCAAGCCAGCCGAAAGCAAAGGAGGCCATATTTTAGATTTCAAATGAAGGCCAGTTCATTTCATTATTAAGTAGCCTTGTCTATTAATTAAGCAATATGGCCGTTGACACTGTGGGAGAAATGAGTGCTTTCTCACTGTACCCATTTAATGTTATAGCAGAACATCCCCGCTCAGTGAATCCAAGACCAACAAGCTTACCTCCTGGATGCACATGGGGGTTCTTTGGGGTAGCACTTGAGCTTTCTACCCCCTTGCATACCTCTCTGAGGTGAGATTGAGGTGGATCTTGGGATGGGCTGATGGGTATTTTTGCCACATTAGTTACTACGAAAGAGCTGAACGCTGAGTGGTCTGTCATTGACTGTCAACACGGCATGGCCACCTTCCCTGTCCCCCTGGAGGCTGTGGCTGATCCTCTGGGTCTGTCCCATTCTCAGAGACCCCTTTTCTGGACCTTCCACATCCTGACCTTGAAGTGGCTGTTCCTATACAGGGATCCTCACCAATCACAGTTTTGCCAATCAGGGACAGGCAGGAATGCCACCCCATGCTGGATAATGGATTGCTTTAGTTAGATTTAAGGGGGATTTTTATTTTTATTTGTCTTCTGAGGAAGCTGTTGAAGCTATGGAAACCTGTCTACCAGTAACTAGAGTGCAGTCAACTCAGCATGATCCTACTCCTGAGCACTTACTCATCAGAAGCTCTAATTGGCTACTACTGACATCGTAGGACTCTCTGGGCTGTGATGGGTGGACCAGATCCTGTCCCAGGTCCCTGACGGTAAGTAGCTATTGTCATTGAATTAAGACCAAGTTTTCTGATTCCTTGGCGTTTTGAGTTCCACATTTCCAGTTTTGACTTTTTGGAAGTGACCCCAAAGTTCCATGTGGTAGAGTAATTTATAATTATGTTGATCTCAGAGACTGTGTGTGAGAGGGAATCCCTTGGCCAGTTTGGGAACCGAACTGACTGCACCCCATATCTATTCTGTATGCTCAGTCTCTTATGGAGAATGGCAGGCTATGTGGCCTGGACAGTTTGGCCAGGGCACCTCTGACCACTGTATAGGCCAGTGGTTGGCAAACTGCGGCTCGTGAGCCACATGCGGCTCTTGGGCCCCTTGAGTGTGGCTCTTCCACAAAATACCACGGCCTGGGCGAGTCTATTTTGAAGAAGTGGCCTTAGAAGAAGTGGCCTTAGAAGAAGTTTAAGTTTAAAAAATTTGGCTCTCAAAAGAAATTTCAGTCGTTGTACTGTTGATATTTGGCTCTGTTGACTAGTGAGTTTGCCGACCACTGGGCTAGGCCAATAAGGTATTTGGCCCAAGTTGTACAAAATATGCCATCAAATGAAAACCCCAGTGAGGCCTTGCCCCCAGTTTGTTGGCTTGACCCTTAACCCTGGTGCTTTGATACTCAAACCACCTCACTCCTGACCCTTCAAAGAGCCAGGCTAATTACGTTCCTGTGGACGTACCGTGATTATCCGTGAGGGTGAAGTTGCTGTCCTTGGTGTTCAGGGAGAATTTGAACTTCACATCTTTTGGCGTTATGTCCTCGTCTATGGCAAAGATTTGCACCACCAGCTGGAGCGTGGAAGAAGGGGGTGGTCAGTGATGGTGTTGGGCTTGTCTGGAGTTCAGTGATGGAGACTCTGGGTTTAGACCTGACCGTGGCCTCCTCCCACCTGCACCACTGACTTAAATGACCTCCACAAACAAACTCTTTGTACCAGCCCCCTCCCCGCCAATCTGTTCTCCACGTATTTCCTCTGAGCCTCAGTTTCTCCACCTGTAAAGGAGGGATAATGTCACCTTTCCCCAAGGCGGCTGTGCAGGTTACATTAAGCAACTGGCTGCGGGCGTGGGCACCGCCTTGTCCCCCGACCTGAGCCGGACTCACCGTGCCCTTCTCAGCATTCTCACACACTGTGGGCTCGTAGGGCTTGGCAAACTTTGGGGGGTTGTCGTTCACATCCAGAACTTCAATGTGGACCTGCACAATGGATTCTTTGCCCGTGGGCTTCCCTGCAGGGGGAAAGGACTTGTCATTGCGACAGGCTCAGCTGATGTGTGGAGGGGGACTCCCGGAGGGGGTGCCCTTGTCACAGGAAGAGGGGGCGATGGAAGACAGGCCAGGGAGGGCATTCTGGATGAAATGAGTGGAAGGGCTAGGGGGTCAAGCTTCATGCACAAGGATGCTCACTGAAGAATTGCTTGTAAGAATGAAAAGGTAATCTCAGTGAATTTAAAAAGATTTTAGTAGCATTGAGTTAAGTAATCACCAAGCGAATCTAAGGATTTAATTAAGTGGTTAAATTAATTTAAACAAGTATAATTTATTAAACTAAATTACTTAATTGCAAAATGATTTAAAAGGCAAACAATGTAAGGGAGATTGTGTCAATACATTATATCACTTCAAAAGAATGAAATAGGTGGGCGTTTATAATGCCCCTGTAAATGATATTTTAAAAATGTAACTTACAAAATGGTGGGTTAGTACCACGAGAAAATGGTTCTGAAAGAAGGTTAAGTAAAAATGCAGGATAAGATTTTATATAAATATTATAAACTTCTGTAAAAGGATGTATAGTAAAAGGACCACCGGAGGTACACTAAAGTGCTAACAGTAGTTGTCTCTGGATGGTAGGATTATGAGGGGATCATTTTCTTCCCCTAGCTTGTATTTTCCATATTTCAAAAGAAACAACCAATAACTTTTAAAATTTAAGTTACATTCAAAGTCTAAAAACGACATGACTGTAAATAGATGGGGAAGCAAGGGCTAAAGATCTGAAAAACACAGGAGTCCATTACAGTTGGCCTGGCTGTCATATTGGGGATGTGGGTAGCACTGGTGTGTGTGTGGGGGGCAAGTCCCGCTTTCTCCCCCTCTCCCGAGTGGTCTCCTGGGGGAGGCGGGAATGTTGATCTTTCTTCTGCAGGGCGGTGCTGATTTTCTCATAGAGGCAAAGGGTGCGAATTCCAACACTTGCCTTTCCCTTTGGCAATTGTTACACTCATTTCTGGAGAACCTAACCATCCTGGAGTTAGAACCTGCTGCAGATTTTGAATTCAACCCCTAACTGGGCCATAAAGAGCCCCCAAACAGCCTTTTCCAGAATCCATGATGATGAGAATCATGGGGCGCTCGTCCAATGCATGTTTCTTGGCCCCGTTTCTGGCTCACTGGACCTGAACCTCCAGGGAGGGGTCTGGACACCTCTGTTAAGAGGTGCCCTAGGTGATTCTTGTCACCGGGACAGTGCTTCGTACTGGGCATGGGTTTCTGATTCAGTCTGAGGTTGGGCCTGGCACTTGAACCTTCTAACAAGGTCTCAGGAGGTATGGATGCTGCTGGTCCATCCACACTTGGGGAGGAAGGCTGTCTAGCATCCCAGCCAAATGGTGCTTCCTGTAGGAGCTTAGCATCCCGCCAGAGACCCATCGTGACACCTGATGCCAATTGTGAACAGGAAGGAAAGGAGAAAAGCCCGATGCCCTGGCAGATGGCATTACTCACCTCTGGAATCCAGTTCCTTGGCCTCCACAGTCAGGTTGTACCAAGGGGTGACTTCTCTGTCCACTTCTTTCTCATTGTAAATATTCCCCTGCTTGTTTACTTGGAAGAAGTGGCCCTTGTCGCTGGTCCTGCGGATGAAGTATCTGCCCGGGGGAGAGAGAGTCATGGCTTTCAATTCTCTTTGCTGAGTTCACATTCCTAGTACGACAGACAAGGCCCTTCAGGGTCTGTCCCTCGCATCCTCCTCCAATCCTCTTGGCACCCTACCACCCAGAGGGGTCCGGAGAAGCGAGGTGATCGCTTTGAGCTTAGCGATGTTGTCATCTCCGATGTGAGGGTGGTGCCTGAGACTCCATCAGCAGTGCTCAGAGCTGAGGCCGGTGGCACTCAGCTTCCTTAAGAAGACAATAGCCCTGACTGGTTTGGCTCAGTGGATAGAGCGTCGGCCTGCGGACTGAAAGGTCCCAGGTTCGATTCCGGTCAAGGGCATGTACCTTGGTTGCAGGCACATCCCCAGTAGTGGGTGTGCAGGAGGCAGCTGATCGATGTTTCTCTCTCATCGATGTTTCTAACTCTGTCCCTCTCCCTTCCTCTCTGTAAAAAAAAAAAAAAATCAATAAAATATATTAAAAGAAAGATGACGATACATAGAAACATTAACGTCCCCGACATTGATATGTAAATATCATTAGAATTCCGATGTGTTTTAAAAAACTGGGTAAAGAATTTAAACATTCACAAGAAAGACTGTTTTAGAGTGCATAAAAAGTATGGAAAGTAAAAAGCAGGGAGGGAGGGGCTTACTCCCTACAGACCAAGTTTCAGTGTAAAGCTGCTACAGTAAAACAGAATGGCTTGCCAGAGAATAGTACAATAGAGGATTCGGAAATAGATTGGGATACAGACAGGAACCCGGTATATAAAGAGGGTCAGAAAACAAGGAGTTATTTCTATGGTGCTGGTACAGTCGGCTAATCCTCTGGGATGACGTGGGATTGGATTCAATTCAGACTCACTATCAATGTTAAATGGCTCTGGAAAGTTCGAGTTAAAACTATATCTTTTGTCCCAGAGGGTAGAAGAGAGGAGTTTAGTGGAGACAGAAGAACAAGTAGTGATGAAATGGGCGTGATAGGATTAAAAAAAAAAATTTTTTTTTTAAACAATAAAAAGCCCCAAACCGGACCAGCAAATAACAACCCATCTGCCGTTAACGTATCTCGCCGTTTGCCAGGAAGAAAGGCGTGGTGGGACCACGTCAAACACGACTTTGGTGAACGAACAGGCGTTACCAGGAGTGGGGTCTGCTGGTGCTTCCTTATCTATCTGTGTCATTCCTCTGTGAAAGGAGCACCTTCCCCTCTTGGGCTTGGGAAGTCAGATGTAATAAAGCATGCTGAGCGGAGAGGATGTCCATGGGCTGCCTAGCTGGTTGCCCTCTTGACCCCCTGGTTTCCCTCGATGGGGCCTGGGGGAGCACCCAGGGTCCAAAGAACAGGCCCTTCGAGGCCGAGCCGCCCCGTGGGCCAGGGCTGTGCGGGGCGGTGCTCCGGCGGGACACGTTCTCGGAGGGTGGGGGAGAGGGCCACGTGGGCCAGTGGGCAGCGCGGCTGCTCGTCCCGTGTCTGCCGTCTCCCACGTACGCGCCGGGAGAGGTGTTCCCTTAGGCCCGGGCCCGGTCCGGCAGCCGGAAGGACCTCCAGGCCAGGATGGTCACGGCCACCCCGTGCTCACCCCCTCCTTACCCGATGGTCCTCCGCGCGGCGTCGGGGTCCGTGGCCATCACCGAGCCGATGAGCGGCTTCTTCAGGTTCTCCTGCAGCTGGAAGTGGTAGAAGGGCTGCTGGAAGACGGGCGGCTCGTCCACGTCCGTGACCCGGATGGTGACGCGGGCCTTGCTTTTGGGGGAGACGCTGCTTGGGTAGCGGAGGTTGATGGTCGGGTCGGTGGCCTCGATGGTGAAGGCGTATTGCTGGATGCGCTCGTAGTCCAGGGGCTGTGGGCGGGGAGAGGGTGGGGAGCCCCCGGTCAGAGCCGAGCGCGTGGCGTGTGATCTTGCCCCCAGACCTGCGGGGTAGCTCTGGGATGATACCCATTTTACAGATGAGGGGACTGAGGCCTGGAGAAGTGATATTTCCAAGGCCATCAAGAGAGTGGCTGGGACCCTGGCTGGTTTGGCTCAGTAGATAGAGGGTCGGCCTGCGGACGGAGGGGTCCCGGGTTTGATTCTGGTCCGGGGCATGTGCCTTGGTTGCGGGCACATCCCCAGTAGGGGGTGTGTGTGCAGGAGGCAGCTGAATCGATGTTTCTCTCTCGTTGATGTTTCTAGCTCTCTATCCCTCTCCTTTTCTCTTTGTAAAAAATCAATTTAAAAAAATATATATCCTCAGGGTTGGCTCCATGCCTGACCCTGTTCCCAGTATTGGGGACACACAGGGACCAGCCCCAGTCCTGCTCTCGAGGGGATCAAAGACTAGTGGTATTAGCCACAGCTGCTAAAGGACGAGTCTTTTCTTATGTTTTTGCTCAAGAACCTTCTCTTGTCCTTGCCTGCTTCGTCCTCTCCTCCTCACCCCTCCAGAAGCCGGCTCATCTTCCTCCTTTCCTCGTGTCACTGCTCCTGGGCCTTCCTGGGGTCACTACCCAAGTAAGCTGTTTACCCCGAATCCTTGCCTCTCGGTCTGCTTCAGGCATAACCCAGCCTAAGGCACCGGTCCTTGGCTCCTCGCTACACCGCCCAGGCTGACCCAGAGTGCATCTCCGATGGCCCCTGAGCTGGTAGCCACCCTGGGCGAGGTCTGGGGATGCTGGCAGCCCCCAACCCCACATCTGTCCCCATCACCCCTGGCCCGCAAACCTTGGTGGGCTTGATGATGCCCTCGTTGTGGGCGGGGTCCGTCTGGATGGTGAAGGTGTCTCTGAACTCGCCCTGCACGATGCTGTACTTGGTCATCCGGTTCTGGGGTTCGTCTGGGTCCTCAACGAACAGAGAGCCCAGCGGGCTGCCCACACGGATGTCCTCGGGCACCGTAAAGAGGTAGTCGGCTGGTGCAAATAGGGCGCCCCAGAGGGCACTGGGTTAATGAGATCCACAAGGCAGTGGTCCCTCCTAGTACCCCAATATATTCTGATGTGGGAAATGGGCATGGGAAGATAATAATAATCCTACATAACAACAGCCTAACATGCTAAGTGTCTGACCATTCGACTGGTCGTTATGATGTGCACTGACCATCAGGGGGCAGGCGCTCCAACCAGTAGGTTAGCTTGCTGCTGGGGTCCAGCCAGTTGGGACTGGGTTAGATGGGTGGGACGTGCCCTGAAGCCCTCCCACGTTCCCTCAGCCTGGCCTGCACCCTCTGGCAATCTGGGACCCCTCTGGGGATGTCAGAGAGCCAGTTTCAGCCTGATCCCCGCAGGCCAGGCCAAGGGACCCCATCATGCACAAATCCTTGCACTGGGCCTCTGGTTAATAATAACAGTGCCACTGAAATTTTCAGTCTCGAGGCAAAATAGTTCTCCATCCATCCATCCATCCACCCACCCATCCAACCAGCTATTAAGCACCTACTGTAAGCCAGGCACTTTGCTAGGGGAGTTATGCATTGACAAGAGAGACAAGGAGACAAGTCCCATTTCCGGGAGCTTCAGCCACCCACAGTGAGGCCACTTCAGGAAAACTGGCCTGTCCTTGGGGAGGCCGAGCCTCTGACTGTGCCTCAGTATTAGAGAGTTCATGTGAAGAGCCATCACCTTCCTCCTCAACTCCCCCCTCCCTCCCCCCATGGGCAGGTGAAAAGCTCTGGTCAGACATTTTTGGGGAGAATCAGTCTGTGGCTGGGCTCAGTGCTCTGGGTCAGGGGGCAGTGTGTGCAGGGATGGGAAGAAGTAGGGCCCCTCTCTTCGCCCCAGTGACTTCCCTAAGCCTTAGGCCCACCTTGGGGTGGGGTGAGGGGTCGGGCCCCAGGTCACCGAGTCTGGAGCATCCCGCCCCCTGCCCCCTGCCCCGCCCAGGCCCCCGGGGAGGGGCTCACTCTGGGTGAAGATGGGGAAGTTGTCGTTGATGTCCTCCAGCTTGATCAGCACGGTGGTCGTGCCCGAGTCCCCGCGGAGGCCCTGGGCGTCCTGGGCCTCCACCACGATCTCGTACCGGGCCTGTGCCTCCCGGTCCAGGGTGCTGACTTTTGTGAAGATGAGACCTGCAGGAAGGGTCCCAGCGGGAGCCACGTTACCTGGGGAGCTCGGAGAAAATGCCGGTGCCCAGGCCCTCTCCAGAGGGCACCTGACCCCAGAGCGCCAGGTCATTCTAGAGTGCAGCCAGGGCTGGGGGACACGGGCCAGCCACCCCTGCCTCCACCCCTACACTGCGAGGTCCGCGCTCCCACACAGTTAGCTGCCGGGAGCACTGTGCTGAGAAAGGGCGTGAGGCCCCCCAGGCTCAGCATGGAGGAGGGCTGTGATGGATCCGTGTGCCCACCCTGGCGCCCCACGGGGTGTGGTGTGTCTGCTGTGTGTTTGCCATCCCTTCAGGCCTATCTTGCTCCGAAGATGCAGTCCTTACAGTTGTTTTGTGTGTGTGTGTGTGTGTGTGTGTGTGTGTGTGTGTGTGTGTGTTTTAAATCCTCACCTGAGGATGCATTTTACATTGATTCCCAGAGAGAGTGGAAGGGAGGGAGGTGAGGGGAGAGAGAGAGAGAAACATTAACAGGAGAGAGACACATCGATTGGCTGCCCCCCGCATGCGCCCCTACTGGGGCTGGGGAACCTGCAACCAAGGTACGCGCCCTTGACCGGGAATCAAACCCACAGCCCTTCGGTTCTAACCACTGAGCAACTGGCTAGGCAGTCCTTACAGTTCTTAAAGTCATACTGAGTGTATAATTACAATGGGCCATGTGCTCTTTATATCATATCAAATTCAAACTTCACAGCTACCGTGCAGGATGGATAGAAGCATCCCATTTTGGGGTGCGGGAACTGGGGCTTGCAGAGAACTGGGGCCTTAGTGGCCTTCCCCGAGGTCGTTAGAGAAGGCGAGTGGGAGAGCTGGGCCTGGAAGCCAGGTCTGTCTGCACCTGCACCCAGAGCTGTAACCAGCATCCACTCCTGCCTCCCATGTCCACGTTTGGGCCTGATTTGGTTCCCTGGACTGGAGTCCATGTCTTGGGGTACCCTGACTGCTTCCTTCTGCCCTCACCAGCCACCTTGTCTTAACATGGGATACCAGCCACCTCCTTAGCACAGCATGGCTCAATGGTCGGTGACCCCTGCCAGATTGGACTTCCCTCAGCACCCACACCTGGAATATTACCCCCCTCTCCCCCCCCGTGCCACAGGAGGGTCAGTGTCACCAACCAGAGTCAGAAATGCCAAAATATTCGTCTCCTTTCAGGATGTGGTACATGACGGTGGTGTGCTCTGCCACGGTGGGGTCATCTGCATCCACCGCGGTCAGCTGGAAGACGGAGGTCCCTGCGGAGCGAGAATCCAGGGGTTTGCAGCCTGTGACTGCCACCCCCCTCCCCCCGTTCCCAGATGGGGGTCCCCTGAGCCCACCTCCCCCAGGGCCCCAGGGCAAAAAGGCTGCTTTATGTCCTGAGGAGCCTGCATGGGGGCGAAGTGCTGGCAGCAGGGGAGGCCCAGCCTGACTGGCCTGGACGGGGCAGAGAGCAGGTGGCTTCCGTTTCCTGGGGAAGTGAGGAAGGGGCACATGGTTGGGTCATGAGGAGAAGCCTAGGAGGGTGAGGGGATGCTTCTCTCCTGCCTTGGAAGGTGAAATGGGAATGGGAAGAGGCCCCGACAGGGGTGGGGGTTGCAGCTTGAATACCAGGATCCCCTCCCCCTACTTCATAGGAAGGTCTGGTCCCAGGGCCGTGGCCGGCCCCTGACTAAGGGGTCGGGGGAGCGAACCCTTTCCAGGCCCCTCCTTGGAGCTTAGGGTGGAACGGGATGAACAGCAATCTCTGGAGGCCTGAGGTCCAGGCTGGTGACACACCTTGAGGTGAGGGCCCCGGTCCTCCCCCCCGCTCCTCCTGCACGGATCCCAGAGAGGACCCGTCTCGCCTTGGTGGCAGAGCTGGCATTATTCATGTGCAGAAGCTACGCTCTTGTGTCAGTCCTCAGGGTCAGAGAGTGGGTGGGGTTTGCTCTGAAAAGCAATCAGACCTGTGTGCCTCTGATGGTGAAGTCTCAGTCCAGGATCAGGATCAGTCTATGGCTAGGGTCAGGGTTTAGTTTGTGATCAGGATCAGGGCTCAGTCTATGGCTAGGGTCAAGGTTTAGTTTGTGATCAGGATCAGGGCTCAGTCTATGGCTAGGGTCATTGCAATCACTGCCCTAAACTCACGGAACGCTGGCCTCAGGCATTGAAGGTGTTGATGCAGAGGCGCCTTCAGGCTGGGGGTGGGAGGAGGTGAGAGGGACAGACACCTTCAGGCTGGGGGTGGGGAGGAGGAGGAGAGAGGGACAGACAACACCTACCTGCCGCTGACATCTCGGTCACGGACGCGTTGTAAAACTGGTGCGTGAACACCGGCCAGTTGTCGTTCACGTCGTACACTTTGATGACGAAGTTGGACGGGGGCTCCAGCTCCTTGTTGGTGTTCTTGTCCACGATGAGGGCGGTGAGATGGTACTGGGAGGTCTTCTCCCGGTCCAGCCTCTCAAAGGCGAACACGTCCCCCGTGACCTCGTTGACCCTGAAGATCTTGTCGGCCGCCTCTCCTCTCAGCACATATTTGGTGTTCTTGCGGTTCTCGCTCGATATGATCTAGGAGAGAAGAGGTGCTCTGGGTGGGCATGGGCAGCGGTGGCTGTGGGGTGTGCGCTCAGGGAGAGGGGCTGTAGGTGGTGGGCTGGGTGGGCTGGGCCTGCCCCCATCACCCCCCACCATCCCCATTAGCCCACAGCCCTTCTCCCTGGGTGGGCTGATGAGGGGGGCCAGTGGCCTGAGGGAGGGGCCATGGGTGGTTAACAGGCTGGTCCTGCCTCTGATCAAGTGTGTGTGTGTGTGTGTGTGTGTGTGTGTGTGTGTGTGTGTGGTGGGGGAGCAATCTGGGGCAGAGCTGGCTGAGGGGAGGGGCCACAGGTGGTTGGCTGGTGGCCCTGCTCCTGATGGGGTAGAGGGGGCAGATTTGGGGTGCGGCTGAGCAGTGGGGGGAGGGGTAAGGGGGAAGGGCTGCAGGAGGTTGGCTGCCAGCCCCGCCCTTTGATCTGTCCAGTTTGCTTGCCTCAGTGGGCGTCTTGGTGACTGACCGGCGGTTCTGGTCATTCTGGGTTCCGGTTGCCGGCTTTCTATACATACAGATAACTGGAAGTTCGTACCTCCTAGTCCCCTTCACCCTTTCCATTCATTCCTCCACCGCCCTGCCCTTGGGCAGCCGTCAGTCTGTTCTCTGTGTCTATGAGTGTTTCTTCTGGTTTGGTGAGACTGGTGTTTTAGATTGTACGTGTAAGGGAAATAACATGGTATTTGTCTCTCTCTGACTCATTTTACTTGGCATACTGGCCTCAGGGTCCTGGCGTGTTGTTGCAAATGGCAAGATTTCCTTCTTTTTTATTGCTGACTAATGTTCCATTGTATACATGTACCACCTCTTCTTTATCCATTCATCTTTGGGAGGATATGTGGGTTGCTTCTGTATTATGGCTATTGCAAATACTGCTGCATGAGGGTGTGTGTTATTTTCAAATGGGTATTTTTGTTTTCTTTGGATAACACTGAGAAGTGGAATTGCAGGGTCATATGGTAGTTTTACTTTTAATTCTTTGAGGAACCCCCGTGCTCTTTTCCATAGTGGCTGCGTCAGTTTATATTCCCACCAACAACAGTGCACGGAGTTCTCTTTTCTCCACATCTTCCCCAACATCGTTACTGTTGTCTTTGGATAATAAGACATATCCTTTCTGACGGTGTGAGAGGATATGTCATTGTGTTTTTAATTGGCACCTTCTTGATAGTTAGTGATGTTAAGCATCTTTTCATATGTCTGTTGGCCAAGAAAGAGTCAGTCTCAAGACAGAAAAGGCAACCTCAAGAAGGGTGTGGTCAGTCCTGGCTGGTGTGGCTCAGTGGTTGGAGTGTCGGCCTGTGCACCAAAGGGTCACAGATTCGATTCCTGGTCAAAGGCATCTATTTTGGTTATGCTCCCCATCCCCAGTTGGCGCAAGGTTGAGAGGCAACTAATTGATGTGTCTCTCTTACCTCAATATTTCTCTCTCTCTTTCCATCCCTCCCTTCTACCCTCCCTCCCCCTCCCTCCTTGCTCCTTCTCTCCCTTCTTCTATCTCTATGAAAAGCAATGGAGAACATATCCTTGGGTGAGGAAGGAAGGAAGGACAGAAGGAAGAAAGGAAGGAAGGAAGGAAGGAAGGAAGGAAGGAAGGAAGGAAGGAAGGAAGGAAAGAAAGAAAGAAAGAAAGAAAGAAAGAAAGAAAGAAAGAAAGAAAGAAAGAAAGAAAGAAAGAAAGAAAGAAAGAAGGAAGGAAGGAAGAGGTTTAGCAACATGCAGTTATTGGACTTCTTGTGGGAGCAGCATCGAGAGGGTGGTGGGATGAGAAGCCATATAACAGAGTGCAGAGAGAGACTGCAAGATGAGGACGTGGGGCCGGGAGTGAGGTGGGAGGGAGGGAGAGCGGCAGGGCAGCAGCGGGAGGTGGTAGAGCTTCCTGGAGCAGGGCTGCGATGTGCAGGGGCAGGCAGGGGGGTCCATGAGAAGGTCCTGTGCCCAGTGGCTGAGTCATCTGATGAACAGTGAGGCTCCGTCACCGGTGCCTGAAGGGATGGTCAGGGGCCCTGTGAGTCACTCAGGGTTAGGATACAACGGTTAGGATCCTTTCCAAATTTGGTTCTGATTGGGTGTGCTAGGACCCACGTGGATAGGATGTGAGGGGGAGTGAGTCAGCTTTGATCTGTTCTAATAGAATTCTGCATAAGAGCTCATTTGAATACACACTTCTGTTTTCTCTCCCTCCAGCAGAGCGTGCGCATGCTTCCTGCTCCCAATTTCCTTTGTTATTAACAGTAGAGGCCCAGTGCCCGAATTTGTGCATGGGTGGGTCCCTCAGCCTGGCTGGTGTCAGGGCCAATCAGTGCCATCTCACTGGGGGGTGGGAGGGACCACAGAAGGTTGGCTGTGGGAGTACCCTTGACGAACAGGTGGCAGCTTCCGGATTGAGCATCTGCCCCTGGTGGTCAGTGTGCATCATAGCTACCAGTTGGATGTCTGGGTGTCTGGTCATAATTAATGGACCGATGCTGTTACTTTCCATTGACCCAAGTACGCAGTATGCAGATTTTTTAAAGTTTTTACAGAATGCCCTTTTTTTGTTCTTGGATCCCACCAGGGCACCACATTAGAGCCAGTCATCAGCTTTCTATAAAAGCTGGGCTGTGAGTGTTCCTCAGACTTTCAGTGATTCTGATGATGTCCCTGCCTATTTAGAGATGGCCTGGTGTAGGATGTCCTTCTGTTGGAATTTGTCTGGCATTTCCCCCATAATTAGACTGAGGGTATAGGTTGTGGGGAGCCCTCCTCTTTAAGCATTACTACTGTAGCCCTGCCCAGTGCTGCTCAGTTGGCTGAGCATCCAGAGATCACGGGTTCAATTCCCATCAGGGCACTTGCCTGGATTCCAGGCTCAATCCCCAGTAGGGGGCATACAGGAGGCAGCTGATCCATGTTTCTTTCTCTCTCTTTCCCTTTCTTTCTCTTTCTCTCTCTCTGTAAAATCAATAAAGACATATAAAAGAATCTGTTTACTTAAAATATTTTTTTAAAAAAATGATCAGGCCGAAACCGGTTTGGCTCAATGGATAGAGCGTCGGCTTGGGGACTGGAGGACCCGGGTTCGATTCCGGTCAGGGGCATGTACCTTGGTTGCGGGCATATCCCCAGTAGGGGGTGTGCAAGAGGCAGCTGGTCGATGACTCTCTCTCATCGATGTTTCTAGCTCTCTTATCTCTCTCCCTTCCTCTCTGTACAAAATCAAATAAAATATATTAAAAAAAATATTAAAAAAATAAATAAATGATCAGTATATTTGGACGTAAGATATTAATGCCCCAAGCCACGCTAATCCATATCTGTGGATTCAGAACTCAGCCCAGGCCTCACACCCATTGTCCAACCAGCCCTGTAAACAAAGGCGTGTGCTCTGGCCTGGATAAACAGGGACTTCCTTCCCTTAGATGACATCTTTGGGAGTCAGGGGGTGATCCTTGGGGCCCTGTCCTTGTCTCTCCCATGTCCCCTCGCTTCTGTCCGGGGTGGGGACTGCATTCGGCTCCTCCGCCTCCCAGCCCAGTTCCAGGTGCCAAGTGAACGCCGATGACAGAGACGGCGGGCCTGACGTTCTTCCTGCCCCGGAGGGCCCTCGGGTGAGCCCGCCAAGGCTGCGGGGTCAGCGGCGTGGACACAGGTGCCCCCTGCTCGCTGCTGGTTCTCTCTGCCTCACCCTGCAGGTCTCCTTGGAGCCGACCACTCTCTCCGGTGGCTGATTCATAGCACAATGACCTCATTACACAGAACATGGGTGGGTTGGTGATATTTCCCCCTGTGACACAGTGTCACGTCAGGAGCCAGGAATCTTCTGCCTTCCTGGGCCTGCACTCTCCTAGGGCTCTGTCCTGGGCAAGCGTCTTTTCCCCTACAGTGGCCACACGGAGCGATTTAAACTTGCCAGTCCCTTTTGGGAGCCAGACTAGACCCTGGGCTCAGTCAGCTGGCTGCTGGCGGGGCTGTGGATGGGTTCCCCCAACTGCTGTGGCATTCCTGATGGGAGGCCGGACTGTGCCCTCCTCCATCCAGGGTCCTCGCCAGTCCGTTTCTCTATAACCCCAGGGCTCCTCCATCAGTGCTGTCTGCAGGGCTCTCTGCCTACTGTCTGCTGTCCTTCGAGACTAGGCTGGGCAAACTGTTTCTGTAAAAGGCCAGAAAACACATATTCCCGGCTTTGTAGGTCATGGGGTCTTCATCACAGCAACTCCAACATGCCATCGTAGCATGAAAGCAGCCACGGCAATGTGTCAGTCATGTGACTGTCCCCATAAATCTGTATGTACAAAACCATGTGGTGGGCTGGTTCTGCCAGCCCCTGTTTTATTTTTATTTTATTTATATTTTTAAATATGTTTTATTGATTTTTTTTTTTTTACAGAGAGGAAGGGAGAGGGACAGAGTTAGAAACATCAATGAGAGAGAGACATCGATCAGCTGCCTCCTGCACACCCCCTATTGGGGTTGTGCCCGCAACCATAGAACATGCCCTTGACTGGAATTGAACCTGGGACCTTTCAGTCCGCAGACTGACGCTCTATCCACTGAGCCAAACCGGTTTCGGCTGCCAGCCCCTGTTTTAGACCACGAGCTGCATAAGGATGGGGGCCATGCTATCTTTGCCCACCGTGGTCTCCCCAGAGCCTCGCCCGTGCTTGGCACCATACTTCCTCTCATCAGCGCATTGACCTGGTACTTCTGTAGCCAACCATGTTTGGATTCCAAGAAACTGACAGTGAGATTTTATGCACTTGAAAGAAATGCCTTCTTCACTAAACACTCTCAGAATACCTAGTCCATCTACCTGTCCTTGTGTGGGAAATCCGCTGCTAGGGCTATTCTTCTGAGTTACAGCTCTGCCATCAGGAACGTGATACACGAAGGCAGTTCCCTGTCACTCTGAGTTCTAGGAAGGCGACTGGGGATGAGCATGTTTTAAAGAGGAAGGCAGTGGGGGTTGGAGCCCTGGAGGGCAGGTTTGTGTCAGTCAGGGACCTTGTATGGGTGTGCTAGAATCTGGGGAGTGGTGGAGGGTGACAGAAAATTAGGGAGGGGTAGTCTGAGAGAAAGGTTTTTTGGAGAAAGCGCAAAGGCCTAGGTCATGGTTGGCAAACTATGGCCTGGATAGTTAACTTGGTCACCAGCACAGTTTGGTAGAAGGCTGCTCAGGTTTTCTAATCTCTCAGATGGGAAAATTTTATGGCAGGCTTGGCCTCTTCTGCTCTAAGCCCTGAACTGGTCAGCTCAGCCTATGCCTGGGGTGGCCCTCCCACCAGTGATATTTGGTCCACAGACCAAGGTCTGGGAGGAATTACACCACAGCGTTCACCACCATTCCCACCACAACCACATCGCTAACAATACCTCACTCACCACTACCACCCTCACTTTCCTGGCCACTATTACTACCATAACCACCAATTTCCTCTTCCTCATTATCACCACCACCACCACCACCACCACCACCACCATCATGACCTTCCTCTTTACCATCATGATCATCACCACCCCAACCACCACCACATCACTGCCATCATCACCTCCATGATCACCACCAACTTCCCCTTCATCATCACCAGTATCACCACCTCCACCACCTTCATCTTCCCCATCCCTATCGTTACCATCACCATTACTACCACCAACATTGTCACCACCATTATCATCATTACCACTATCATCACCAAATCATCTTTCCCTTCATTATCTCAACCACCAACACCAATACTTCTACCACCCCCACTGTCTCTACCACCAGAACCATTACCCTCACAGCTGACATCCCCAACCCCCATTTCACCACCTGGTGGGAACCAATTCCAGCATGTAATAATTACAAGAGTTCACCAAAAGGTTGGTGAAGCTTGGGCAGCTCAACAAGGGTGAGCCACATATGTAGTTTACCTGTCGGAAACGGCTAAATGGCACTTCCCCCATACCTGAATAGGATAATAGTTTGCTGCTAGACAGCTCAGGGCATTTTATTGCCTCCTGTTGGCCAAACACCTGAACAGCTGTAGGCCATTCCCCAAACTGGCAATGCTTCTGTAAAATATTCTTTGATACCCTACCCTTTGAAGTGTATTATCTCCACCTTGCCTTAGGACAAATTGTGTGAAATAAAAGCAGGGTCCTGACTCGAGGAAGGAATCTTCAGTTCCTTTAGCTGAAGCTCTTCTGATCCCCAAGGCCTTTCAAATTTATCTTTTGTCTCCGGACTCTTTAGTCATCTACGCGCAGCCCCTTTCTCCGGAATGCTGAACCCTCCGTAAGGCCGGGAACAGAACCCCGACAACCACCACCACCCTCACTGTGATCCACTTGCCGCCGAGCCTCTCCTGCTCTGGCCTGAGCCTTACCTTGCCCACGTGGTGGGGCAGTGAGCTGTTTTTCTCTTCCTGAATGTGCATCTGGTTCCAAATCCAGTGTCTCTTCTGGCGCTGGAGGGTGGGTAGCCTGCTGGGAGTGTCCCATTGGGCAGGGTGAGTGCCTGTGGCAGCTGCCATCAGCAGGCCCAGACAGGTGCCCACTGTGGCCAGCAGTACCAGGGGCAGATGCATCTTCCCAGGAGGCACAGATCTGGGGAAAGAGAGGAGAGGCCATCAGGGCACGTGGGTCACTACTCCAGGGAATGAGCAGCCCCCAGGGATACCCGGCCTCCCCTGATGTGTTCACTCCTCCATCGTTTCCCCTCTGCTGATGCCAGCAGAACCAGGCTCTGTTCTCACCCCAAGGAGCCCCGAGTCTGGGAGGGGGAGATAGACACAGAAACAATTCCTGCTTAAATGTCACACATGCTGGTGTGGCAGCAAGCGCAGGCCACAGGCAGGCCCAAAGGAGGGCTGTCAGGATGGTTTCCTGGGGGAGAGGGTGATGCTGATACTGACGGCTGCTCCCTAAGCCCCATGCAGTGGGCACCCCGTTACCCTCTCTCTACACCGAGGAAATCAACACACAAAGAAGTTGGAGCAAGTGGTGGGGCTGACAGTGGAACCCAGTGGAACCCAGTTCCAAGTACTTTGTATTGTCTCATTTAATCCTCCCAAGAACCTTCGAGGTTGGCATACTTTTAACCCTCATGTTCTAGATGAGCAGAGGCATAGAGAGGTTTTGTAACATTTCTGAGATCCCTCGGACGGTAAGCAGCAGAGTCAGGATGTGAACCAAGTCTGTCTGATCCAAAGGTTCATGCTTTTTCTTTTTACTTTCTTATTTTTTTATTTGTTTACTTTTCAATGAACAGTTGACCTACAATGTTATATTAGTTTCAGGTTAACAGTTGATGTGCAATGTTATATTAGTTTCAGGTGCACAACCCAGTGATTAGACGTCTATATAACTTATGAAGTGGTCACCCCGATAAAACTACTACCCATCTGGCACCGTATGTAGTAATTATAATATTATTAGCTGTATTCCCCGTGCTGCACCTTACATCCCCAGCCTGTTCTGTAACCGCCCATTTATCTCAAGAAGCAAAGAAAGACCCAGCAATTCCACCTGTGGGTATTTGAAGAAACCCAGGACACAAAATCAAAAAGACAGATACAACCGTATGTTCCCTGAAGCATTATTTACAACAGCCGAGACATGGGAACAGCCCAAGTGCCCAGCAGATGATGGGATAAAGAAGAAGTGATGTATATATACAGTGGAGTATGACTTGGCCATAAAAAAAAAAAAGAATAAAATCTTGCCATCTGCAGCAACACGAATGGAACCAGAGGGTACTGTGCAGAGTGAAATAAGTCAGACAGGGAAAGACAAACGCCGTATGATGTCCCTTATGTATGGAATCTAAAAAGCAAAATAAACAAGCAGAACAGAAACAGACTCAGAGATAGAGAGTATGTTGACAGTTGACGACAGACGAAGGGAGTTTGAGGGATGAGTGGAAAAGGGGGAGGGAGAGGTGACAATCTGGCTTCATTGTTTTCAGGGCCCAGTGCAAAATTTCAATGTGGGGTTCAAAAGTTATTAAGAATTTCAAGACGAAGATGGGAGGACAGGAAACCAAGCATAGAGGCTTTTAAAGTGCAGGGCCCCCGCTGCTGCTCGGATTGGATGCCCTTGAAGGCAGCCCTCGGATCAGCCTGCACTGGGATCTGGGGTCACCCATCCGTGGGGGCCTGGCTTCATCCAGAAGTCCGTGAAGAGGGGTTTCCCCACTGCGCCGTGGCGGGTGGAGGCTCTGACCTTGGCCATCACTGACCCCATCGGTCCTGCCTGCTGGGTCCCCCTGTCACTGACCTGCAGCTCCTGGGATGGTTCGGGGCAAGAAGGCGGGTGGGTAGTCGTGGGACCAGGGCTCCTGCCCAGAGAAACGCGGGCTTGCGGGGCGCTGGCCAGGAGGCCTCCTCCAGGGCTGTCCCCTGCAGCGGTCTAGGGGAGAGGCTGGACTCCGCACATCCCAGGAGATGTCCAAACTCCAGTGACATTTCCCCTGAGACTCTGGCGCCTCTGGGACTGCTGACCTTAGCACCCAAAGCCCCCACCCGGCGTCCAAGCCACTGGCCTATGAGGAAGTGGCTGCTGGGGTCAGGATGGGGCAGAGCAGGCCGCAGAATGCAAGTGCCACGTGCCCAGGGGGAGGCCCGCCTGCCTCTGCGTCTCACGTCTCACTCTCACGTTTCTCAGTCACAAAGGAGGCAGGTGACGTGGGCGAGGCCAGGTGCCCTTTGATGCAGGTTTTGGAAAGGGCAGCCATTCCAGGCAGGAGGCAGGCAGTGAGCAGGGACGAGGGGAAGTGGGGAGTCCTGGCCAGGAAGCTGGTCCTGACTCAGGGTGGGCAGCGGGCATGACCCCTGTCCCACCCTCTCCCCTGGACACAGGCCCGGTGGGTCATTTCCTTCTTTGCCTGGGAAGGAACCACAAGTTTTGGTTCTTTCTTCCTTGAGGGAGGAAGTGACTCAAAAGAGAAAGAGTCAAGCAAACAGAATTGGAAGCGAGAAACGAGGAGCGGTTTCAGGCCTCTGAGCAGGACCTTGCTAGGAGTCGAGCCCCCTGGGGCGCGGCAGTGAGCGGGACAGACAGGAGCCGCCCTGGGAGCACACCCTGTAGTGGGAGCACCTGGAAAGTGAGTGAATGAGGAAACCCTTGGCTGGGGATGAGAGATGCCAGGGACCATCGTGGAGGCTGCAGCAGAGGGGACAGCGGCTGAGCACGAGAGGCCAGGGGCAGACTCAGAGGGATGAGGACACTTAAGACAACGTCTGAGTGTCAGCCCCAGGAATTCAGGGACGTAAGGAAGTCCTGTGCAGAAGGACCAGCAAGCACAAAGGCCCTGAGGTAGAAAAGCAGATCGTGTGTTTCAAAAGAAGGCCCCTGGGCCCTCGCCAGTCTGGCTCAGTGGATAGAGCATCGGCCTGTGGCACGTACCTCGGTTGCAGGCTCCTCCCTGTCCCGACCCAGGTTGGGGCATATGCAGGAAGCAACCAATCAATGTGTTTCTTTCACATTGATATTTCTCTATATCTTTCCCTCTCTCTTCCACTCTTTCTAAAAATCAGTGGAAAAATATCCCCAGGGAAGGATTAAAAAAAAAAAAAAAAAAGGCCCCTGGGTCAGATAGAAAGGAACAGTGGGGAAGGGTGGGGTGCAAGAGGAGGCGGCCAGGCCTGTGTGACGGTCCCTCCCCCAAAGATGTCCACGCCCTCATCCCTGGAACCTATACCTGACAGCAGGCTTTCCGCTGATGGGATTAAGTTAAGGATCTGGAGACAGAGAGATTGTGCTGGATGTGTGGGCGGATCCCTGAAGGAGGGGAAAGATGCGACCACAGAAACGGGCCGGAATGCCGTGGGCCTCTGGCGGTGTGGGCACCTCCAGGAGCCGGGCAGGACAGCGCCTGGATCCTCCCGGGAGCCGCCAGAAGGACCGCAGCCCCGACGTTAGCCCATAAGACCCCTTTCAGATGTCCCGTCCCGGAATTATAAATTAACAAACAAGTGAACATGTGTGTGTGTGTGTGTGTGTGTGTGTGTGTGTGTGTGTGTGTGAGGCCACCACGTTTGGGGCGCTCTGTTACAGGTTGTGCAGTTGGCCATGGGGGGAGGGGCTGGCTGAGTGAGGGGAGAGAGCGGGGAGGCAGCCACTGGTGCATGTGAGTCGGTGATGTCTCAGACCAGGTTTAGGAGGGCATGGCCACTGGGTATGTTTTTTTTGTTTGTTTGGTTTTATTAATCCTCACCCAAGGATATTTCCCCCCCTTTTATTTATTTGTGGAAGGAGGGGTAGAGACAGAGAGAAACATTGATGTGAGAGAGACACATTGATTGGTTGCTTCCCGCACACGCCCCAACAGGAGTTAGGGATTGAGCCTGCAACCGAGGTATGTGCCCTTGACCGGAGGTGACCCTTCCGCCCTTGGGCCGATGCTTTGACTAGCAGACTAGGCCTGAGATAGGTAGAGGGATTTGCTGTAGGGGTGAGGAATGGAAAGAGTCCAAGAAACTCCCAGTCTCTGGCCTGAACAGTTGGGGAGATTTGAGAGACTGGGTGTGTGTGTGGGGTGTGGGGGGAGGGTGTCGGGGGCAGCACGTTTGGAGGGGAGGAAAAGGAAATTGCCTGCATGATTCTGGGGGAGGAAGCAGGCCCAGAGCAGCTGGCGGAGGGTTTCAGTGTGTGGATGGCACTAACCTGCCTGACTGGCACAGGAAGGAGAGCAGGCGGATAGAGAAGGGAGTGGCCCGGCGCAGGTGCCCCCTCTCTCTGAGTTCCCTCTTTGGTGAACTTTCCGTCCCAGTTGAGTCCAAATGTCCTCCTCTAGGGGCTGCCCTTGGCCTTGCCTCACAGCCGAGCCACACGCCACTCCTGAATCTCGCCTCTCTGGGCTCCCGCAGTGCAGGGTGACCCGTGACCACAGGCTCCGTGGACCACGGACCTCAGCGGCCCCCTCCCTCCCCGTTGTCACCACGGGACGGCACGCAAGACTCTCCACCTCTCTGAGCCTCAGTTTCATCATCTGAACAGAGGGAACACCCGCATCTGCCTCTCGGGGTTGTTTCCAGGCGGAATTAGAAAATATTGGCAACGTGGTCGGTAAGCAGTAGCTGGCGAGGAAACGTACCCATGTGAATGCTCACACCTTCTGGCGCTGCCTACTCAGCACTCACCATTCTTTTTTTTTTTTTTTTTTTTTTTTTTTTAAATGTTTTATTGATTTTTCACAGAGAGGAAGGGAGAGGGATAGTTAGAAACATCAATGAGAGAGAAACATTAATCAGCTGCCTCCCGCACACTCCCTACTGGGGATGTGTCCGCAACCAAGGTACATGCCCTTGACTAGAATTGAACCCAGGACCTTTCAGTCCGCAGGCCAACGTTCTATCCACTGAGTCAAATCGGTTAGGGCAGCACCCCCATTCTTGTTCCCTCACGTGCAGGCCCCGACCTGCCAGATCCACTCTCCCTGTATCTCCGCTGACCTCTGCTCTATGTGTGTGTGTGTGTGTGTGTGTGTGTGTGTGTGTGTGTGTGGTGGGTGGGGAGGGGCTGGCCCTTGGGCCTCTTGCCCTGGCTTCTGGTTTTTAGCCAGTAGGGGCGCTAAGGATAGAAGGAGAGAAGTGAGGTGGTTCTTCCTGTGGCTCTCTGTGCTGGCTCTGATTTTTTTCTGTGGCCGCATGTCTCCATGGTAACAGCCTCTGCCAGGCCATCCCTCCACGGCTCAGTCCCTCACTGAGTTCTGGAGACAACCATCCCTGTGCTGTGTCTTTGATCCTAGGTGGGAGTGGCTCTCTCTGTTGCTGGTCTCCATGTGCCTCAGTATACCCCTTGTTCCCTGAGCTGACTGCCCAGCTCTCAGAGTACCCCTGAAAACCTCTCTTAAAAAATTTTTTTTCTTTTTAAAAATATTTTTCTTCTCTTTAGAAGGGATGAGTAGAGACAGAGAGAGAAACATCGATGTGAAAAAGATACATCGATTGGTTACCTTCCAAAAGCGCCCTGGTCAGGACTGGGAATCAAGCCTGCAACTGAGGTACGTGCCCTTGACTGGAATTGAACCCACGACCCTTCAGGCTGAGGACCGATGCTCTAACCACTGAGAATAATAATAAACTGTTCTCCTTGCTGGGCTTTCCTAGGTACCATCTCCTTCAGATCTCACCCTATCCTCGGGGAGTAGGAATTCTCAGCCCATTTCACAGAGGAAGAAACTGAGGCTCGAGACAAACAGCTCCGAAGCGGTGGATTGGAGACCCTCGCCTAGACCTTTTTCTGAATCCTGCGGCACCTAACCTCGGCGGGACCAGGGGGACTTTTCCGGGGGAAACGCCACGTGTATGTGTGTCCTTTGCCTTTTGCGTTAGAAACGTGGCCATCACAGCGGTGCCCGGGGAAGGATTTTACCAGCGACTGTTCCTCCCCCTCCTGCTGAGGGAGAAGAAGTCAGGTGGCGGGACTGACTGCACCCCCCGCCGGAAGCAGCGTTTCCCAGGGCTGCACCCCTGCAGCTGCCGGCGGGACCACAGCTGGGGCCGGACTTATCTCAGCCCTGGCCTTGGCCACACGAGGCAGGCATGTCTCTCGGTTGCTTTCGGAGAGAACAGGCGCTACGGGGTGGGGGGTGGTGGGGGGTTTGGGTTATATTATAGATGCGGGAAGTGATTTCCATGCTCAGAAAGTCCTAGTGAGCAGCCTGGGGACTTGCATCACCATTGCCTCGAGGGGAGAGAGGATGTGCGCTGCAGCTCAGATGTGGGTGCTGGGCCCGCAGAGGCCAGGTGTGTGTCCGTGTCCCTGTCACCAGGATCTGGGGCGATGCCCATCCCTGGAGCCCTGTGAGAGACGTTTGCAGGCAGCTCCTAATGGACTCCTGGGTGAGGGCGGGCCCTCGGTGCCCTGGGTCTGTCAACACACACTTATCCTGCACCAGCTGTGGCAGACACTGACGCACACGCACACGCACACGGAGCAAACGCACCCCAGTGGGGCAGATGGAGGCTACATTGGATAAAAACGATAGTTTCAAATGGAGATGGCCCTAGCCAGTTTGGCTCAGTAGATAGAGTATCGCCCTGCAGACGGAAGGGTCCCGGGTTCGATTCCAGTCAAGGGCACGTACCTGGGTTGCAGGCTCCTCCCTGGCCCGGGGCCCTGGTCGGGACACATGCAGGAGGCAACCGATGGATGTGTTTCTCTCACATCGATATTTCTCTCGGTCTTTCCCTCTCTCTTCTACTCTCTCTAAAAATCAATGGAGAAATAGTCTCAGGTGAGGATTTAAAAAAACCCCTGTGATATGTGCTTTGATGGGGTGCAGGCCGCTGTGAGGGGGCAGAGCGGGGAGGTCTGGGTCTGAGAGCCTCAGTCCAGGGAGAGTCCCCGCCTCTCTCTGCGCTGCTGTGCGACCCCAGACAAAACTCCCCTAGCTCCTTCTCTTTTAATGGCTCCCCACGTGCTCCTGGGGTTTGGCTTTGGAGGGGCTGCGAGCCCTGCT